GGGTTTGCTAAGATCAAACTTTTGTTGGTGGATCGACTCAACCTTTTGCAAATTGCATTATGGAATCTCACTTTGCTTGTTTCACTGATGTTACCAGACTCTATTGTTGAACTATACTTAGCCATAACCCCACCTATGTTATTTTCTTGTAACTTCCTGGTCTGGAGAATAAATGCAGGGAGAGGACCCCAGTTCGAGGTTAATTTCCCAAGGAAGCAATGCCTCTCTCTTGAGGGTTCTGGGAAATTAACCCCTTCGGGGTCTCTCACTGCTCGGAAGAAATGGGCTTTGAATAATCCTTTTTGTGGCTCTGTCACCCAGGGGAAGAGAGGTGATAAATCTGTGTAAGGCAAAGCAACAGGGAAGGGACTCAACCTGTGGCATGCTAGTGGCATGGCAGGGACATCCATGTCTTCTCTTGAACTAGAAAGTTATACTCATTTATGCAAATAATATGCTAACAAACATGTCCTTCTAACTTCATACCACAGAATGCAGCCTTTGGGAAAATTCTAGTGGAAACACCTGTTTTTACCTGTAAGCATTTTCTGGAAATACTTTCTTTGCTTCCTACGGCACCCCTGTGAGCTAAGTTTTTATGTTTTTGTCAGATCCATCAGAATCAACCCACACATTTTCCTGCCAACTCCCTCCCTGGCTTTGGTGCTGGTGGCCACAGAAGACTACCCCTGCCCCCCACTTGTATTACCACCACCACAGCCCCGGGTGCCAGCCTTGTTTTGCTCTTTCCTTCCTCTCTCTGCCCCCACAGCCCACCTCGTTAACTGCTCCCTGCAGGAGAACAGGAGGGCAGGTGCTGTCCCTTGCAGTGGGCAGGGGCGACTCACCATGCCGGTGGGGCAGAGGCAGCCAGAGACGCAGCCCATGCTCATGCACTCCAGGTCATAGTTCTGGCACGTCTTGGCACACTCGAGTCCTTCAGCCCGTGGGTTGTCAGCAGGACACACCAACTTGACCATGGGAGGCCGACAGGACAGGCTCCTCTTGCCTTGAAGGTAGGAAAATCAAAGAGGTGATTAGCGAAGGAGAGAATGGATCTACCTTCTGTGTGGTCCTTTGGTCCCCTAGATGTCATCACTCAGTCTGAGAGACTTGGAGCTGCACACTCCCTGGGACTAGATGCTGCCAGCCTCCAGTGGAGTCTAGCCTGAGCCAGGACCCACGTGGGGTGGGGCTGGGTTGGCAGCTGTATCTCTCATCTGAGCTCTGGCCTTTGGCCTGTGCTGGTGGCAGCTCTCCCGATCCCAGATCCCAGCATTCCTCCGATGGCCCACAGTTACCCCCCTTGGCCCTGCTGTAGCAGGTTGCGCTGAATCAGGATGCATTATAGAAATTTCAGACCCCACCTGTAAAAAATCTGGGTTTGGGTGTGTCAGTATTGTCAGAACCAAAATGGAGTCACGTGTGTCAAACTTAGAGAAAAAACAAATAATGCTGGGAGGCTAAGAAGGGAGGACTCTCATGCATACATGCCTATGATAAGAACTATTACAAAGACCGATCTACGCACATACACCCGTAACAAAAACTTTTGCTACCACGAGTCACAAGGACAGCTAGCCAGATGTACAAAAACACTTGCCTGGCACTGTCTCTACTAATAAACTGGCATCAACCCCTGCAATAAGTCCCTGTAACCAATGCTCTCTGTTGCAAAGCAAATTACATGTACTTTTCTCTTTTGCCTTTAAAACCCTTTGTCTTCCTTTACCTCCCTGAATACACACATAGTTTAGTAGACACATTCCCATTGCAATGCTCTATTCCCAGTTAAACTCATTATTCTTCTAGAGAGCCTCTCTGTTATTTAGATTAACAAGTGCTAAAAAGGAGCTTTCGTGGGACCCAACAGAACCACTCCTAACATGGTTATAACTAACATATCAAGAGGACGTTCAACCACTTTAAAGTCTCAGACAAAGACTCTAAAGACCTTGCACAATGTCAACCTCTGCCCAACCACTCTGTTAAATTTGCAACACACCAATCTCCCCTCCCTGCTTTGTTTTTCTCCATCTGATATACGATTCAGTTCACTTATTCATTGATTGTCCACCCCGCCCCTGCTCAGCCCACTCACAGGCAGGGGTTTTTATCTCTTTCTTCATTGATACATCATATTTCCTGGCAGTTAGTAGGTATTGATGGCTGACTGGATAATGATGGCAGCAGAGAGTTGATACCGCAGCTTTCTTCCAAAACTCCTGATGCACTTACTAGCATTAATATCACTTTCTGTCTCCTACAAACAAGAAGTCCAGAATTTCCAGCCTTATTTTTATATGGAGACCTTTGTTAGGAAACTGAAACTCCACAAGGTTAAATGGCTTTTCCCAAGCTACGCAGACTCTCAGCAGTTTCCTGACTTTGAAAAAGAGAACACCTTCCAGTGACTGGACTAGAAGACTCTGCGCAGGAGAAGCGCTAGAGACAGGTCTCCGGCAGAACGCAACAGCGGGCAGTGGGAGCACGGGGAAAATGCCGTGACAGCTAGAGACAGTTGGGGGCTTAGTGACATTGAGGTCACAAGTTCTGATTTTAACTTGAAAACCACACAGGCACTTGGGATCTTGCCCCAGCTCTAGACTGAGACATGCTCCTGCATCAGTCACACAGGAGCCCAACCTCTCACCCAGGGCAGGGTGGGAAACAGACAGCGGGCCACAGAGCTGGTCACCTGCAGAGAAGGAATCTTATGGGAAGTGAGAGGCAGGGAGAGAGGTGGTCAAGCTGGAGGATGAAAATAGCCCATTTACCTCCCTCCTACTGGAAAAGTCCTTTCTAAGCCAGGATGATCCTTTTGGAAGCAAACAAGGCCCCTGTGATCCACAAATGTGAACGCGGTCCTACCAGTGCCAGCCCAGCCCCTCCTCCTTTCTGTGCCTTGTCCTTAAACAGTACAGCAACTGTTAGGACCTTCAGACTGAGAGCAACTGGCCTAAACCCCCTCTCTCAAATCAGTCCTAGAAGCTTCCTTAGGAGGTGTCCTCATCAGCATGTCCGTAGAAAACAAAAGGCCATCCATCAAAGAAGGGTGATTTTCATCACAGTCAAGGCAACCAACTCACTCACAGCTGTCCTGTGGGTTAAGTCACCCAGGCCAAAACAGAGGTCTCACTGAATCCATCCTACAGATGATTCAGTCTTTCCCCTTCCACAAAATAAAATACGTCCTGCCTCCATAATCTGGATTAACACATGCAAACATGTATGTAGGCTTGAAGGTCACTCACACAATCCTAGAAATTGTGCCAACCCTGAGCACAGCCAGACACGTGCCTGAATATGCACAGGACAGACAGGGCAGCCAGGCTCCCCCCACTTGCTGCAGGAGAAGTCTAGGCAGAAGAGAGATGAGCCGCCTTCCAGGGGACGGTACTCACTGCGGTGAGACAGGGGGCTGCCGAGGACGGTGTCCGGCAACAGGCTTCCCGGGGCTCCACTCGTGGTGCAGTGCATGAAGGCGTCCTCACAGTAGCTGCAGGGGGGAACCACAGCCCAGCTTCACAAGCGCCGTCTACACGCACTGTCCTCGCTTGCTCACCTCCCGCCTACTCTCAGCCCCTCCAGCTGGGCTCCCGGTCCCAAAACTCCCCGAAGCATAGTACGCTAAGGTCATCACTGACCCCACGTCACTGAATCCCATGGAATATTTCTCAGTTCTTTTCTTACTTGACCCCCTTGAACATTATTCATCACTGTAGACCACTCCATTTTACTAAAAAAAAAAAAATCATCCCCTGGCTTTCTGCCCTGGCTGCAAATCATCTCCTGGCTTTCTGCCCTGGCTGCTCCTTCTCAGCCTCAGCTGTAGTGCCCCCTTCTGCCCAGCCTTTAAATGTCAGCTTTCCCCAGGTGCCACCCTGGGCTCTCTCCTCTTCTCACAGGATGCTGCCAGCCACACCCCCAGCTTCAATGACAGAGATGACTCTCAAGTTCACATCAGCAGCTGGGACCTCTCCTTTGAACCCCAGACCCAGGTATTTAGATGTCTACGTGACACCTTCCCTTGGAGTCTCCAAGACACTTCAAACTCAGTATGTCCAAAACTGAACTCATGATCCCCCCACCAAAGCCGATCTTCTCCCAGGGCTGGGTCACTGAAATGGTATCACCGTCCACCTGGTTTCACAATCAGAAACCCAGGGACCACCCCTGACACTACCCTCTCGCTCTCTCCATGTCTGACCCATCACCAGCCCTTGGACTTTGCCTCCTGCGTGTTGCTAGAATTTGTATTCACGTCTCCATCTCCACTGCCACGAGGTGAGACACTATCACCTCTTGCCCGAACAACGTAAAAGCCTCCTAACTGTTGCCACTATACCTGTTCTTGCCTCTCTCCAAAACATGCCTCTTGGCTGCCCAAGCATCTTTTCAAAACCCAGATCTGATTATGTCACATCTCTGCTTGAAATCCTTCAACAGCTTCCCCTCAATAGGCCTTAACGATCAAATCCCTAGAATGGCCAGACCCCACATGACCTGACCATGACCTGCCGGTCTCCCCTTCCTCCAGCCCACTGGCCCTCTCTGGATCTTGAGGGCACATTGCTCCCTTCAGACACAGGGGCTTCTGCACACACCATTTCCTGTGATCTGATGTCACTTCTGTCTACCACAAGCAGATGCACGCCCGTGCACACACACGTACGTGCACGCACACGCGTGCACACACGTATATGCATGCACACGCGTGCACACACGTACATGCATGCACACGCGTGCACACACACACATCACTTTCTTTGTTCCCACCCCATCTCAAGCTTTCATAGACCATGTACTTCTCTTCCTAGAACTCACTTCCTTGACTTTACAAGTATCTGGGTTATTCTTTGATTAACATCTGCCTCTCCCTGGGATATAGTGCCCATGAGGGTAGAAGCCATGACTGACCTTGCTTGCCATTACACCGCCAGCATCCACACAAGGCTTTGAATAAAGCATTTGATTTTGTGTTCATTTTTTTTCTGTCCCGATCCTCCAATCCCAATCCGCTCCCCTAACATGGGCAAGTGTTTTGGGTATCTGGTCTCCAAGATAGCCCCAGGGATCCCCACGTCACTGTACTCACACCCTCGTGGAGTCTCCTCCTACAACTGTGTCAGGATTGTCTGTGTGACCAATGGTATATGATAAGAAAAGGGAGCCCTTGTACACGGTTGGTGGGAATGTAAATTAGCACAGCCATCACAGAAACCTGTATGGAGGCTCCTCAGAAAATTAAAAGTAGAACCACCCTATGATCCAATAATCCCACTACTGGGTACATATAGAAAGGAAATGAAATCAGTAGGTAAGAAGACTTATCTGCACTTCATGTTCATTGCAGTGTTACTCACAACAGCCAAGGGACAGAACCAACCAAAGTGTCCCCCAACAGATGAATGGAAAAAGAAAATGCGGCACATCAATGGAACACTACTCAACCGCAAGCAAGAACTAAATCCCGTAATTCACGACAACATACGTGAATCTGGAGCACATTATGTTGAGTGAAATAAGCCAGGCCCAGAAAGACAAATATCACACGGTCTCTCTGATACGTGAAATCTAAAAAAGTTGATCTCATGGGCGCAGAGAGCAGAACGGTGGTCACCAGGGGCTGGGGGGAGGAGGGTGTTGGGGAGATGTTGGTCAAAGGAGACAAAATTCCAGTCAGGCAGAAGGAGCAAGTTCGGGCGCAGAGAGCAGAACGGTGGTCACCAGGGGCTGGGGGGAGGCGGGTGTTGGGGAGATGTTGGTCAAAGGAGACAAAATTCCAGTCAGGCAGAAGGAGCAAGTTCAGCAGATCTAGTGCACAACATGGTGACTACAGTAAATAGCATATACATATTATATTATAATACATATTATACTATAGATTACATTGATAATATTATGGCTGCCCAGCAGCGTTGTTTTAAGGTCCCAGAGAGCGACGCCCTGGAGACTACAGCCAGACAACTGTCTAAAGCAACCGCCGGGCCCCAAGACCCACCCAACAGAGGACGTATTGCTCCCTTCTCCCCGTTAATTTCCGCAACATGGCCCTGTCCTGGTTCTGCCCTTTCACCTGTGGCCTGTCCCGCAGGATCCTCTCTTTCCTCCTCGCGTCCTCTGAGCGTGCCCCAGGCTCTGGACTCGGTCCTCCTTCCTGTTCTCAGTGAGCCTGGCTACTCTCGTGGCTGCCACCTACATCTTTTCCTCCAGCCCCACCTCTCACTCACACTCCAAACCCGTAATTCAAGCAGTTGGTTCCTTTCTTTCACCAAGATGTCCTCTCGGTAACTCAAAGTTGTCAAGGCCAAAACCAAGCTCAGACTCTTGTCTCTGCCCCCAGAGAGCCCTCTGACTGTCCCCCACCCCCATCACTGCCCTCCCAGGCATTGCAGCTGCGAACCCTGGGCCACTGTCAACACCACCGCCTGTCAAACATCCCCCCAGCCCATCTGCTCCCCCACCGTCGCCTGCTTCTGTCCCCCGTTCTCCATTTCCACTGCCATTACTTGGTCCCGGGCCTTTTATCCGTCTGCGTCAACATTCCTACTGGTCTCCCTGCCTTCATACCTCACGCAGCTTCCAGAACCCACTCCCCAAAGCTATGTGGCCCTACTTGCTCCCTGTTCAGACCTTCCCGGGGCCCCCCGTCTTCTTCCCCTTCTCTTTCGTTGATCCCTGAACCTGATCCCAACTTCCCCCAGTCTTCTCTTTCCTGCATACAGCACATGTTCCCACCGGAAGACTCACCTTCAAGATTACTGAGCACTCCCTGTGCGTTTCAGTTCCTAGACCTCTGCTCCACCTGAAAACAAACCCTCCCGTCCTTCCACCCACCTCTGCTGCTGGCATCCTCCTCAAGCTCAAAAGCTACCCCTGCACGGAGTCTTTCCTTACTCCTCCCACGTGGAGGTAATCCTCCCCTTTCCTGAATGAGCAGGGCTTTTGGTGTTCCTGGTATGGCAAGTCTAACAAATGTTATGGTTATTCCATCTCATAAGCATCTGTCGTGTGCCTACTTTACGCCAGATCTGTTTTAGGTGCTGGAGATTGGGGCCTAAGATGCGGTCTCGTCTCTAGAGGGGAGGTATAAGATGTTTTCCCGAAATCCACATCCAATAACAATAACTGCTTTAATAGAAGTGTAAACAACCTAAATAAAGCTGGGAGGAGCTGTGAATTAATGTCACTGGAATGATGAGGAAAAAGCTTCATACCAAGTGCCACGTGCAGAGCTTGTTTGGATCCTGATTTGAACAAACCAATTACAAAAAGACATTTTGAGACAATCAGGAAAAAGTGAACATGGATTGAATATTAGACGTTATTCAGGAATTATTGTTAACATTTAGGTCAATAATAGTATTATGGTTATGTTTATTTTTTACATGTTTATCTGTTAGAAATACATACTAAAGTGTTTACAAGTGAAATGGTGTAATATCTGAGGTTTTCTTTAAACTACTCCAGCCAAAAAGGGGGAGGAGACAATAAATAAAATAAGAATGGCAAAATGCTGGTGATCATGAAGTGGGGGTGGTTACATCAGAGCTCCCCACACTATCCTCTCTACTTTTATGCCTGTTCGAAATCTTCCATAATCACAACGTTTGAACTGGGCTCCCCTAGTAGACTGCCAGCTTCTCTGGGGATCACGCTGTGTCTGGTTCATCTTTAGATCACCAATCTTTAACCAGAGCCTGGGACAGAACAGGTGACAGGTAAGGGATTGCCCAGCAAATGTTCTGTTGCAAATTTCTTCTGGGATCACGGCAGCCCTTCTGAAGGGCTGCAAGAAGCAAGTGTGATTTGGGGCTACGAGTATTTTGGGGGGAAGCGCATGAGGCAGGACAGCATAGCAATGCACCATCGAGGCAATGCTGCTGTGAAGTGTTTTCTTCTGGCTCACATGCTTCAGCCTGAAAATACTGAAAGGAGGCTGGAGGGGAGGGGACAAGGAGATCTCCCATTTCTTATTCTAGAAAAGGGAAACTGAGACCTAGAGCAGGGACACGATGTAGTTGGCAATAAAACTCAAGAATTCCTACTGCCAGCCTGGAATTCTACTACCCTGCGTGGTAAGGAAGTCAGAAGACCTGGGCAAAATCCCAGCTCTACTTGTGACTTGCTGTGCAAATCTGGACAAGTCACTTCCTTTCGTGGACCTCAGTTTACCCACCCATGACATGAAGGTGGAGGACCATTTTCCCTTCCAGCTCTGCCACTGCAGCGGTACTGCCCTGCAGCGTGCACTTACCACATGGTGTGATGGTCTGAGAAGATGTCTTCGGGCTGGAAGATCTCACCATCATAGTAACAGGGGCACTGGGCCTTGGGCACACAGTCCCCCCTCTCATCCTGGTAGAGCCCTGGGGGGCAGAAGCAGCCCTCAAGGCAGACCTCATTGCATTCCTCATCCGGGTAAGAGAGGGAGCGGCAGGTCAGGTTGCAGGGGGTCCCACACTGCAAGTACACCTGGCCCTGTGGGCAGCTCAGCGCTGGAAGAGAGGGGAGAGGAAAGAAGGCCTCAGTGGAAACACTGGATGACGAGGACTGTGGCTCTAGGCTGTGCGTGCCACCCCTTGCTGCTCTGACCCCCAATTATATCTGTAGGGTCACCACCTTCCTTTCCCATTATAAGCAAAGTGTATTTTTAGGCACACAAATGTATGCTTTAATTATGGATGCAATCGCCCTCTCCCTCACCAAGGGAGCATGCTTTAGTCACCTCCAAAACTCAACTTTTTTTTTTTTTTGAAGCTCTTACAACGAGAAAATGGAGGGGACACATCTGGGTGGGAGGGGGGAGAGGGAGGAGGGAGGGAGGTTTTGGTGATGGGACACAATAACTAACTACATTGTATATTGACAAAATGAAAAAAAAAATTGTCACAGCCAAGGACATAGTAGAAATCCTGGTGGATTTTGAAACTGTGGATGTTAAAAAGAACTGGGAGTGACGAGCAAGGGCATTTCTGTGATGATGATGGCAGTGATGGCTACCGTGTGTTGAGCACCTACTGAGTGCCCTGCTCTTCCCACAAGTTTCGTGCCTCACTCAGTGAGTCTGCGCTCATCACCCCCTTCCAAAGGTAAGAAAACTGGAGTTTCTCTTTAACTTTCTTCCCCAGAAGAAATAACGCCCATCTCAGTTTAACAGACATTTATTCTGCGCCCACTGTGTGCCCGGGCTTTGCCAGGCTCAGGGATGCAGAGATAGTAAGACTTGGTCCTGGCCCCCTGGAGCTCGTGATCTTGTCTTCCCAAAGAAAGCACAACCGATGTGCAAGGAGGGAACATGTGTACTTCTTCTGGATCTCCTCGCAGCACCCCGCAAAGCTGCTGCGGGGTAACTTCTTGCTCCGTGAGTGCCCCCAAGGGGTGTGACCTCTTCTCACGTGTGGATTCAGTGGTCTAGGGAGCTCTGCTCATTTCTCAGGAAGGGAAATGAGGTATGGAGCAAGGAGACAGCCGAACAGGAGCTCCTCTCCAAGTCTAGAAAGGACGGAGGCAAGAACCCAGGAGTCTGTCCGCTCTCCTTGGGCTCAGAGGGACAGCCCGAGGCCATCTATAAATCCATAGAGACAGATCCCATTTGTCATTAAAAGCCTCCAGGGAAAGTTCCTTCCCACCACGCAGCACTTAAAGTCAGGAAGCTCTCACACCGAATCTCAGCCCCTGCTACTCCAATGTCAGCCCACTTCCTCCTGTTCTGCTCAGTGGATCTTAACACAAGCTGCTCGTGAGAGATGAAGGAATATTTCAGCCAGCCCTTTGCATTCTGGGAGAATGTCCTGAATTAGGAGACCCTGCAGATGCTGTAGCATACTGATAATGCGTCACTTCTAATATTGGTGACAACCAAAGCATATTCACGAACAGCACCTCGTTTAGCCTCATTGCTCCCCCCATTGCTCCCCCCCATTTCTACACAGCAGATGGAGGAGTTTGGAGGGTTAAGGGAAGGCTCGAGGTCATGTAGCTGGTAAGTCACAGGCCAGCTGCCGGTGAGGACTCAGTTCTTCTGGCTGCCAGCATGTGACTCCCGGCGACAACCCAGGGCTGGAGGGACAGGAGGGCACATGGCATGCACGTATGCACCTGTTCCCTTTTGTCCTTACAGTGTCTTTGCTCCCCTTTTTTATGGGCTTTCTTAGGCTCAAAACATGAGTCGGTTCATCAGACCCCAAATATCGGCCCTTCTAGAGCTCCCATACCTAAACTCTCTTTAAATGTATGATATAAATTCCTTTCCCCATTTCTCATAGCTCCTACTTTCCTGCTTCATCAGGACCACCTACATGCTAGTTACCAAACACATTTCCTTCACCCTGAAAATCAGCATATCCATCCTACCTTGTCTTTATGGAATATCCTTCTCACTCCTATGCCTCACTGCTACGGTTCTAACACTGCAAACAACTCTTTCTCTGCCAAGAAAGCATCTTTTAAAAGCCATGGTCAAGTGCACCTCCTCCAGAAAGCCTTCCATGGTTGTCTCCGCCCCCAAGCTAATCATCCTTTCACTCAGGGTGACAGGCACCTGGTACGGCGACAGTTTCCACTCGTGTCTCGAAAAGGAAGGTTGGAGTTCTGGTCACCTCTATTGCCTGACCATACTGGCCACTCAGCAAATGTCCCCAGAGCAGCAACACCAACAAAAAGTGAACACAATCTAGCCACCCAAGGGACCAGAGTGTGACAACAGACACAGACTCTGGTGCCAGGAACATAACAGTGCAGTGAGAATCCAGTCAGCTGGGAACGATTATTCAATTTTAAATAACTTTATGCAATGCCAGAGACCTCGGCCAGGAGTCCACTGATGGTTATAAGCAAAGGATTTGTACACGCATTTCCCATTGCCTCCCCAGGGATGCCAGGGCCCCCTGGGATCTGGGACCCACTTACTCCACCACCTGGTCATACACGTATTGGGCACTAGGTGGCAGCATGCACAGAAAATTTCTTCTTGGTGGGATTCCAGGTTCCAACTTAGTCTCCTGGAACAGGCCAGAGTGACCAGCCCATCCACAGGAGAGCCGGTCCCCACCACTGTGTCTTGCTGGGAGATGCAAAGGAAAAGTGGCTGCAAATGAAATGTCCCCACAACCCATGCTTGTCAAAATAACCCTGGGCCCCTTTCCAAATGAAATAATGTAGAGAAAGTGCTCTGAAAAGGCCAAATGGGCCAAGCCAGCAGGACAATTTGGTCAGCTGCCTGGAGAGAGCGACAGGCAGGAAAGACACCCACCGCAGAAGCCGGGCTCCCGCCACGCGATGTGCACGCCTCTCCGGGCACAGGCCTCGGCGTAGCTGGCCACGGCGCCACAGAGGCAGTCCCTGCCGTCGGCGCAGGAGCAGACGTCGTAGCGGCAGTTCCACAGGTAGGGCAGGGGGCTGACGGTGTGGTGGCAGGCCTCGAACTTGGAGGACATCAGGAGAGCACAGGCCTCCTCTGCGAACTTGGCTGTGGGGGGAGGAGAGCAAGCCCAGGATGATGGGGGCAGAGAGGGGCTGCCTCTCAGGCCAACCCCCTGGGAAACAGCCAGGGATGGGCTGGGTAAGAGAAATGAACGAAGGACTGAAATGCTGCTGCAGGTGAAGCTGCAACGGCCACCCCAGTCCCTTCAGCGTACATGTGTCTCTGAGTCTGTGTGGCTGCTGCTCCGGTGGCCTGAGAATGTCCAAGGGTGGGAACTATGTACTATTTTTTCTTTCCCAGAGGCTAGCCCATGGGGGGGTGCTCACTAAAGAGACTTTGACGATGATCCAGACGCACATAATCAAATGCTAATGGCAAAAACAAAAGCCCACCCCGGTCCCTCGCTCCACGCCTCCCCCACCCTACCCCACACACACACACACACACAGTGGGTGCACCGTCCCGTGGAATGCACTGGAACATGGGGACCTCAGGGCTCTGCGGGGTCGCCGCCTTCCCCCCAGGCTCACGTACTCAGGCGCGGGTTGAGGTCACAGGGGTCGCTGTGCTGCTTCTGCAGGTCCGGGCAGTCCCCGTGCAGCTTCCAGGCGTTCCCGAAGTTCTCCACCAGGGGCTCCACCAGGCCGGCGGGCGTGAGGAAGTCGTCGCCCTTGTTGCCGTTGTAATTCCCACACAGGCCACACGTCTTCCCCGCGTAGACTGGGGACAGCTGCGGGAGAGGCCAGACCACCTTGGAGCAGCTGCCGCCAAAGCAGCAACAGTTTGTTTCAATGAAAAGATGGTCTTAATCAAAAATGTTCCCCGGGTGAAAAATAAATATGAATTTAACAAACAGCAGCTGAGCCCTAGGCTGCAGAAGGAAAAAAAAAAGCTGACTGTGGTATACGCTTACCAGCTTCTCCCTGCTCTTAAATCTTTAGTCGGGCTTGTTGTGGAGAAAGGGCTTTTAGAGATTATCTAGTCATTTAAAGATGGAGAAATTGAGGCCCAGAGAGGGACAGTGACTTGTCTAAGGTCACAGAGGTGGTGGCAGAGCTGCGCGAGCAAGCAGGTTGAGCCCCATCCAGTGTGCCTTCTGCCACCAATGCCTGGCAGAGGAGACCATCCAAGCCTGGGGCCCTGATGCCCATGGGAATCCAGGGCAAACTTCGCACTCCCCTCCCCAACACGTAGCTGGCCGCACATGGGGGCAAAGCCAGCTGAGTGGGGCTCCCATTTGTTGACCAGGAGCAACACCATCCTAACTTCCTCCGTTTCACGTGGCTACTGAGTATCGCTAAAGAGAAAAGGCTGCAAGCACTCTAGGGGTGATGATCCAAGGAGGTGGGGGTCAGGAGCACTCTGGGGCAGCCTGCCACAGGGTGACCAGGCCATGGACCGGCGGCTTGTGTGGGCTGAACAAGTTCTGAGCCCACAGGGCACACTGAGGGACAGCTAGGGGAGTGGACCCAGCCTTTCACCCCCTGCAGCTGGGGCATCTGTGGGTTTCTGGTCAAAGCAGGAGCTGGAACCCAAGAGTCCTGACTCCTGCTGTGCACGTGATCAACAAGGCCAGGTGACCTCCCTGTGCTCTGAAATCTTCAGGGCCTAGGCCTGGGCCCCCTGGGGTCACCTCTTGGAGCCCTGCCAGCTTCCAGCTCTGATGGAACAAGACGCAGGATGAGCAATTTAGTGGAACGTTCCAGACCCATTTAAAATGGATCCAAGTAAATATAGTTAATAAAAAGGGAGACAGAGTAATGTCTTCATGTTTGCTTTGCCACATGAGGCACCAAGGCCTTCCCTGACCTCCTATTTAAACCTTGAATCCCCAACCCTGGCACTTCCTGCCCCCTTCTCTCCCCGGGATTGATCGCCTTCTAATATGCAATATAATTTACTTGTTTATTTTGTTTATTGTCTGTCTGCCTCCATTAGAATTAAACTAACAGAGGCAAGGATTTTTGTCTGTTTTATTTCACTGTTGTAATCTCAGTATCTGGAATGATGCCCGTCTTAGTCTACTTAGGCTGCTATATAACAAAATACCATAGGCTGCGTGGCTGATAAACAACAGAAATTTATTTCTCACAGTTCTAGAATCAGGGAAGTCCAAGATCAAGGTACCAGCTGGGAGCCCCACTTTCTGGCTCATAGATGGCGCCTTCTAGCTGTGTCTTCATATGGTGGAAGGGGCTACCCAGCTCTCTGGGGTCTTTCATAAGAGCACAAATTCCATTCATGAGGGTTCTGCCCTCATGACTTAATTGCCTCCTAAACGCCCACTTCCTAACACCGCAGCTAGGAGGTAAGTATTTCAACATATGAATTTTGGTGGGACACAAACATTCAGACCACAGCAGTGCAAGAAGGCACTCAATAAATATTTATTCAATGAATGGATTGTTGAACAAATGAATTAATAAATTAGTGAATAAATAGGCCTTCCTCCTGGCACAAGCAGAAATGCAATGCCAGGACTCAAGACTAGCCCAAGCAATGTGACAGATGGCAGCAGTCAAGGCTATCCCGAGCAACGCTCAGCACCTCTCCTCTCTCCCCCTTCTCAGACACTGGGGTCCCTCATGCTCCCCAAAGCCCCTCTTGTTCACCCCCACTAGGTCGGCCATCACCACTGTCCCCACTCTCAAACTGTATCTACTTCTGTCCCCTTGGCTTGTCTCGAAGTCAGCTCAGCAGGGCTTAGAAGGGTGGGTGAACCCACAGACACCAGGCCGAGGCTGGCCCAGGGCTCTCCAGAGTCTGAGTGCAGGACTCTTAGAGAGGACACTTGCTATTTGAAATAAGCCCCTGCTTAGTGACAGCTCTGACAAAGTGGGGACTGTCAGAGGGTCTTTTGGGCACCACACTGCCTGCGGCTGGCCAGGCAGCTGCACCGGGACGCAGTGCACAGAAAGCGTGATTCGCACTGCCCGGCCACCAGCCCAGGGACGCAGCAGGAGCACTGCACCTGGGTAGGAAGGAGACCAGAGGGCCCGGGCAGTACCTCATGAGGCGGCTGTCCCCGCCCCCTGCCAACCTGCCCCAGCCTTCTCCTGCACACCGCAGTCCCCCAAAACCCCAGAGTCAGCACTCAGGTGCTCCCCACCTCCTGCTTCAGACCAAAGCCCACGGGACAGCCCCACAGGCCATGCAGCCCCTGACCCTGTCCCGAACGCTGACCAAGGAAATCCTCTTCTTGTTAGCTAAGCCGACCAAACCCACCCCCAGAGACAATTCTACATCCCCCTCCCACAGCTGGAGTCGACCTGTGTCCTCCTCAGAGGAGAGACAGAGACCTGAGGAGAGGCAGCCGTGCACAGAAGCCACAGGCCTGTCGCCTGAGGGGAGAAGTCGCCCGGCTCAGGAGCACCCTCGGTGACAAAGGAGGACGCTGAAAAAGTGGGATGACCAACATGGAAGGCTGGGCTGCAGGAGGCGATGTCAGACAGGAGCCAGGTGAGTTCCGGTCCTCACCCTGTGACCAAATGACCGTGAGACCAGGGCAAGTGACGCTTGCTCCAGAAATGACGGGGCTGATGAGAGAATCTCCCAGGCCTTCCTGCTCTACAGTCTGTGGTCAGAGGTTTATTTTTTACAAAAGAAAAAAAAATAGTATGTAATTCTCAGAGGCTCTAAGACAAGAGAAAAAAATTACCTCATGAGAATGGAGGAAACCAGGATCTCATTAGGGATGTCCAAGGCCCATCCCAGGAGTATACCAAGGACCCTGTGGAGCACGGGACCCCAGGATGCAGGAGGGGACTCTCCAGGGGTCCCAGGCATGAGCTAGGACAGCGGGTCTCAAAGCATGGCCTTGAGACCCATGGGGATCCCTGAGGCTCTTTCAATGGGTCTGCAAGGCCAAAACTATCTCTCATAATAATATGAAAACATGATTTGCCTTTTTCCTTCTCATTCTCTTACAAGTATACAGTGGAATTTTCCAGAGGCTACATGACACACAATTTTGCAAAAGATTGAATGCAGAAGTAGTTATGAGAACCCATCTGTCTCCCATTAAGCTAGGCATTAAAAAGATTTGCAGAAATGTACAGCAGTGGTATTCTTCTCATTACTTATTTTTGCTTTGGAAAACTTTTTTTTTAAGTGTTTATATTAATGTGTAGTGGGTTTTTTATTGTTATTTTCAAATGAGCCAATAAGTACATATTTTAAGTATCTATTATTTAATTTCTAATCTGATAAATATCAATAGACATAACCCTCAAAAGATCCTGGGGTCCTCCATAATTTTTAAGAGTGTAAAGACACCCTGAGATGAAAAGTAAAAACCACTGGTCTAAGGAAAGGCACCAGGCAGAGAGTTGACCCTCACGCTGCCACGGCCAGGCAGGGGGTGCTGGGCCACCTCTCAGCTCCCCCGCACCTTGGATGCCCCGTTTATAAAATGGAGATAATAATGCCTGCACTGCCCTTCTGCCAGGGACATTTCAAGAGAAAGTATATATGGAAGCCCACTGAAAGGCATGGATTGCTGTCCACAGTGATTCTACACCCCAGAGAATGAGAGGAGGTGACTCCCAGATGCAGAGTCCCAGGGCCCAGGAGCAGAGGTTGGTAGGTCCCCGTGCAACCTGTCACAGACAGAGTGGGTGGCTTTCTCCCTGCAGGAGCACAAGTCAGAGTCTTGGCGGTGAGTTCCAATCTTGCTCTTCTCTTGCTACCCACAACAGACACCGGGAAGACACCCCTTTCCCCCAAGCCTTGTCACCGCAGGAGATTGGACAGCGAATCTGCCCCTGCCCGGCTCCACAAGAGGCAGTCTACAGGCCCTCGGGATACCCGAGCCCCAGAAAGGAGAATCCCCAGGGCCGACAGGGCCATCCAGAAAACAAACACCAGCTTCTCACAAACAAGAGAGGCCTGTTCCTCGGTCTGGGGGTGTAGGGCTGGAGAAGAAAGGAATTCTTCTGCCACCACACGAAGTCACTCTGCCCAGAGCACAAGGAGTACTTTGTAAGGGTCCGGCAGCAGGGAGGCAGTGTCTCGAGAGGGGCCTACCTTTACCAGCAGCCCCCCGTGGCCATCCCAGTCTATCTGCAGGTCCTCTCCGAAGCTGAGACGCACGGAGGCCATCACTGTATGCTGGATGCGGAGGTCACCTGGAACCAAGCAGGACAGGATTTAGGCTGCAGTGGGGGAGGGCAGTGTGGTGGCAGCAGATGTATTGGGGAGGAGATGGAAGTCTCAAAAGGACTGTCCTAATGAACAGCCATGAGTTGGGGCAGATGGGGTGCCCATCAGGAGGAAGGGTGATCCAGGTGGGCACAGGGCAAATAGGGTTCGCCTGGAAGGAGCCGCTGTGCCCTGGCTGTAGCCTGACATGCCCTGTACTGCCACAAGAGGGCGACAGAGGCTCCTGCATCCTCGGTTTTAGGGGATTCCTGCTGCTGAGGGATCCGTCCATCATTGAACCCAGGACACTGGAGCACGCCTGGACCCCTCTGCCTTTGCACACCACTGGTGCTCCAGGCTGCTACTCAGGCCTCACGGCTCAGCGATGCTGTGTGAAAAGCTGAACACAGCAGTCCTCATTGCTGTGGGAAGGCGCCCACCAGAGCATGGCATTAAACACTCATGGACACGCTGTGTGCCCACTAGCCCACGTTCATCCTCCATGTGCAATGCTAGGATGATGGGCCACAGGGGGGCCAGCAGTCACGGAGGAGCTGGAGGGGTCCGAGAGCCACGTTGAGGGTGAAGTTTGAGGGTTAATGTTTGTGCAAAAGCAGTTTTGCTTTAACGGGCATGGCACACCTGGAAGAAGACACTAGACAGGTAAGTTTTTCTCCCAGGGCAGAGAGTCTCCTGGCCTTGCCCCAAGTGGCATGCTCCAGTCTGACCCATCACCAGCCATGCCTGACCTCAGGGCATCAGCCTCTGCTCCCCAAAGTAGAACCAGAACCACCCTGCCTAAGCCTCGATCACCCCTTTGTCTCAAGTCAAGTAAAAATTGTCCTGGTTCCCTTTTCCCCTTGACACTCTCTCCCAGGCCTGGAGCAACCTCCTCATCTCCAAGGGTTCAGCCAGCTTCCTCCTCTGGTCATCCTCCTCCAGGAAGCCTTCCTTTCTTGCAAGGGTGCATGCCTAGGATACCTACCCTGCCCTCCAAAGATAATTCTCCATAACATTCCCATTGAAGAGGTGTGTGTGCGGGCCCTCAGCTGGCAGTGAGCAACATCACAAAGGAGGGGCGCTGCGGGGTGAGCTGGGCTGACCCCAGCCCAGTGGAGGAGGAGGCCCACCTTGCAGGAGGGGGATCTGGACGTCCCGGCCATCCATGGCAACTCCTCCCCCGTGCTTCAGCTTCACGAGGCTGTTGTGCAGGGTGGGCAGCCGCACAGTGACTGAGCGGGTGCAGACGGCGTCGGGGTCATCGGCACACTGCCAAGAGGGGAGCACAGTGACCTCATCACACCCCTGCAGCCCAGCACCCCAGCCCAGGACCCAGTTTACCAGAGAAAGGACCCAACCCCAGGAAGCCTCCGGCCTTCTCACATGGGACAACTCCATTTTCACAGAATACTCTATGTGCATGGGTGCCCCCGAAGTGTGTGACAAGAGGACATGAAGAACTGTAACCTCTGGCTCAACGTTTTGTTCCTTGGGCTTATTGTTCCAAAGAGAACCAGGGACTTGGATACTCAGGGAAGCCCTATGCTCTCTACCTACCCTCTTTGCTTCGTTCTCTAGAGAAAAGTACGCACGTGCACCATAGCAGCGCAGAAAAGGAGATGGGCCCTCCTTGCCCCACCCCAATCACCCCCCAGCTCCAAACGGCAGAGGGGGTGTAGCCACAGGGGCAACAGGCCCGACCCGAAGGGGGTGCCTTCCATGTAGGGAGAGGCACGGGCTGGGTTTCCGCAGGAATGAGAGGCTCACTGAAGTCTGGAAGAAGGGGCCTCCCTCCTGCACACACAGCAGCTGCTGGGCCTCCCAGGGGGCTGCCCTCTTGCCCCGGCAGCTCTCCAGCCGCCCCGGGCTGCCTCCCTGTGGCCGGGCTGGTGGAGCTCACCTGCACCGTCTCTATGACAACGGAGAAGGAGCGGTCCTGGCAGTCCCGGGCCAGCAGGTACTGGCAGATCCCACTGAAGGTGAAGTGCCTGTTGTCAAAGCTCTTGAAGTGGGACTGACCTGTGATGAGACACTCCCCTGGAGGGACACAGAGGAAGAATGGGAGGTGGGGGAAGTCTCCTAGGGGCAAAGATGGACGCACGTACAAGCAGGACGCCTTCTCCCCGAAATGCCACCGACATCCTTTCCCCACGTCAACCTAAAAACGAGTCCTGTAAGAGGACTCTGAGTCAGCTCCCACTCCTTAAACGGGAGGATGTCAGAGCTGGATCAGTCCCTTCAATGTCCTGATTTACAGATGGGGCACCCAAGGGAGGTGACAAGCCATGCTCAGTCAGTGGCTAAGCCCTGGCCAGAACCCATGGCTGTTGACTCTCTCGGCTCCCTTCTGCCTCCAGGGCCATGACACCAACCTCAGACAGCAGCCTGGGAGGGACTGTTCAATGGCATGGCCTGTGGAGGGGCTCAGGGACACAGCCCACCCCAGAAGAGTGCCTAAAGGCCAGCGGCGGAGCGGGCAGCCCAGAGGCGGGGCAAGCGGGAGGGGAGAAGTGGGACCATCTCAGAGCTTGGCAGTGGCGAGCTGGGACTCCATCCTCACCCCCGGCTGAGGGCCAGCTCTAAGGCCTCCTCAGAGGCAAGCCCATGCTGTGACCTCAGCCGGGCTCAGTGAGGGACCAGGAGGCCATCTGCCCGTGATCTCACCACAGCCCAGGCAGCACTGACCTCTGCCAGGCCAGCTCCCCAGCCCGAGCTGACACATCAGTGGGTGAGGATGAGGACTCCCCTCAGCACCCCACAACTCAAGCCCTTGACTTGCCCTCCATCCAACCTCCACACCATCCTCCCGCAGGCTCTAGCCCAGGCCCCCGCTCTGCCCAATGAACCTCAAACCAGAGATCACACACCCTGTACGGTGCCCATGCAGGGCGGCCTCTGCCAGCGTCTCTAGTGATTACCCATCAGCCCACCCCAGCTTGGGGCAACCCCACCTTCAGGGCCCACACGGGACCCATCAAAGCTGAAATGGGACTCTGGATCTCTTCCCCACCTGCCCTTATGTATTTCCTCTATCTGTTCTCACCCCGTGCCATCGGTCCTGCAAAGGAATACACACACTTACCATGGCTGCTCCTCCTTCCCCGCTCAGCCACCCCTGACCTCCAGACAGCAGAGGCTTTGTTCTCCATAGCACTAACCCAGCCCAAACCTACAGCCAGTCCCACTTGGGCCCATCTCCAGGGGCTGATGCTGGGCCCTGTCACAGAGCCAGGGCATCTCCAAAGGCCACAGGGAGGTTCCAGCTGTCCATCTATCAAAGACAAGCTCCACAGGCCCCCGCTGCTGGCCGCCTCATGCCCACAATCGCACAACTTTGGATCCAGGTGTTGTCCTGCCTTGAGTATGTATCTGAAGGCAGGGGTAGGGGAAAGCAGCATGGGGAGACTGGTGAGTGTACCTCTAGCTGGTCCCCAGGGCAGCTGACCCCTTGCAGGATAACCTGGGCCAGGGCTCATCCAGCCCGGATGAAATTAGGAGGCAGTAGAGAGGCCCCAGCTCACTCTCAGCATCACCTTCCCACCCGCTGCCCCATCACAAGAAGGGCAAGCGTGAGGGGTGGCTGCTGCTGGAAATCAGAGCACAACAGGCAACAGATAGGGGCAAGGTCATCCCGGCTCATGGTAAACGTGCTGGAATTTCGAATCCAGGAAAGCCTTTTTGAGGTGACCATTTTTCAGAAATCCCCATCATCCTACAAACAGAGCAACACAGTCATTTGTGTGAGGTGTCCTGACCCTGTTGCAGTAAAATGGGTGGGAATTCTTCCCTAATCCTTTTCCGTTTCCTCAGGAGCACTCTTATCTGGGGAAGAATTTGGACTTCTGTTATCTTTGACAATGCCCAGGGAAAGAGGGGTCAAAGAGAAAACATGCAAATATTCAAAAGCAAAACTTTCAAGGCTAGAATCTAATCCTCTGACCTGATTTCCTGCTCTGACCCCCACTGATTTGTGTTCCCAAGTTTCTCAGGAATCAGAAATCTAAATATTGCATTTAGCTTATCTCCTCCATACAACTGAGGGACAGAGCTGCAGGAGCTGCAAGCACCAGAACCCCAGGAAAACGGGGGCCGAGCTGCTGGGCAGGACTTGGCCCTGGCAGCTGGACACCAGCCAGAACAACGGGCCACATGGCCACGCTCACCCGGCCTCCGCCCAGCGCGGGACGCCGTTCATTAGCCAGGGATGTGGGGTTCACCTTCCTTGCTTGAGGCTTCAGAACAGACTGACCTTGAATCCCCAGGTCAAATTATAGGGCCGTGTTAGAATCCCAAACCAAATAAGGAACAGGTTACACGAAGGCCTCCCTTCCCACCGAGCGGGGCAGGCCCGCCGGCCCCGGCCACAGCCCCACCTCACAGCACCCCTCCCCTCCCCAGCTCCCGTGGGCCTGCCCTGTGTCTCCGTCCTTCTCTGACCCTGCTTAGCAGAACAGCCGCCTCTGCTGTGTGAAGACGGCAACAGCTAACGTTTATTGGAGGCTTGCGGTGCGCCGAGGAGTAACAGCCTCACAACAGCCATGGGATGAAGCTGCTGTTATTATCCCTATTTTACAAATTAAGAAACTGAGGCTACAAATCATTAAACAGCTTGCCAAAAGTCATCCAGCTAGGACGTGGTTACACTGGAACTCAGCCAGGCTGCCCGTGCTCCCAGTCCCCATGCTCGGCCACCTTTACACGCTCATGAGGCTTTGAACACAAGAGAAAAGCCCTCCACTCACCCCTTCCCCACTCAGAAACATGTCTTCTCTGCTGTTCTACTAGGAGTCTGACATTGTATAAGGAGAGCTTTATTCATTTGGGGAGTGGTCCCCGTTAACTGGCAAGCTCCTTCCACACTAACTCTAACTAAACTTTTATAGTTCAGTGGAACTAAACTAGCAGAGCTCCCCTGGGCAATGTGTTCTATGGAGGAAGGGAAGGTTAGGCTCAGGGCTATAGAAAGGGAAGTATGCACGCTCTGGGGAAACCACAGTCTTGCCAGAGGCTGTCCTAACACCGAACCAGGAGGCAGAAGTGTGCAGGAGCAATGAACGACTGGGAGCATCACAGGAACCGGCCCTCCCAGTACAAACACCACTCTCCTGGGCTTTCTCCCCTCTCCCAGTACCTGCACACAACACTCTCTGCCCTAGGCAGCCTCTAAGATGCCCCCCACGGCCCCCACCCCATGTATTCATGTCTGTAGGTGACCTCTCACCCCGAGTGTAGATTGGAAGCATTGACTTGCTTCTATTGAATAAAATACAGCAAATGTGAAGGGAAGTTACTCCAGACTTTAGGGTTTTGAAAGACTGGGCTTCTTCTGTCTTGGCTGCTCTCTCTCTTGCCAACTCAAAAATCACTTGTCCCGGGGAAGCCAGCTGTCATATCACTAGGCAGAGGCAGCCCCAGGGAGAGGTCCACATGATCAGAGAGTAATGCCTGCCAACCAGCACATGAGCAATCCTCAAAGCCATCCCCCTCACCCCGTCAAGCCTTCAGGTGAGACCACAGCCCAGTCAAAACTGACTGCAACTTCATGAGTGATCTTGGACCAGAGACACTCAGCTAAGTCATATCCAGAATCCTGAAATGTACGGAGTCCCAAATGTACAGAAATTGTGAGATAATATTTGTTGTTTTAAGATGCTAAATTTGGAGATCACTAACACACTCATCTTATTCCAGAGAATCAGAACTCAGGTCTCTGTTTCTAAGGTTCACAACGTCAGCTCCTCCAGAGGCTGCACAGAAGCCCCAGCCTACTCTGCTTTATAGCAGAGCCAAGCAAGCCCCTTCCGGAACCTTTCTATCTACTCTTCCCAGCAGAAGCTCTACCTGCCATCATCACATTGGGAGAATAAGACAGACCCACTGCCAGAGAGGAATGCACCTGTGTTCCAGGGTAGAAAAGGGCCAGCAGGCAGCAACCAACTAAACTTCATAACTAGAAAAAGACAGTCAGAGCTGGGGCTTTGAGAACAAGAGATGAACTCAGTGGTTTGGTGGACAAAATATCAAACCGCTCAGCAGACCATAGAGTTGGAACTGGTTATCTGCCCATCAAGGCATCAAGAGAATGGCGTGCATCTTCAGCAAAGCTGTCTTCTAGATTTTGAACTGAAAACCAGGGGATTGCATTGTCTACCGCAGACCAAGCATTCCACCATGTACACAGTGAACGCTCAACTGTGGTCGGATGAATGAATGTAAGGATGACGGATGGAAGACCCTCCCTACAGTAAGTGCTTGTTAAGACTGCCTAATCTGGTAGTCGGTCTAAAGAACACAATGAGCTGAATTCCCAATTGCATCCACTGTGGCTCACAGATCTTATGCAATGAATGCTTATTATCTAGATATTAAAAGTTTTTTCTTGGATTAATTGCAGCAACCTCATATGTCTTTAAAAGGACTCCTTAGGTTTTTCACAGGGTGTGATTATGTTATTATGTTAAAATAGAGCACAGATATAACTTTCAAGAGCAACCTTTTGTCCTCTGTACTTTCTTCAAGGATTGCACAGAAGATAACCTGGCTGGTTGGCCATCCCTGGGCTAGATTAGTTGACCTAGCCCTAATGCCCACTTTCCATCTGGTTCCAGAATTTTCCCAGCATCAGGGCACTGGATAAGGTCCCACATGACCCTGAAGCCTTTAATCCAAAGACCTTAAATATGATCTTAGATATCCAAACTCAACCCCATCCCAGCCCACCAAAGTCTAGGACTAGGAAGGAGAGGAAAGGGAAAGGCAAAGACAGAAGTCAGGGGCTGTGAGTTTGAGTCCCGGCTCTGCCTCTCAGCAGCTGTGTGACTTTAACAAGTTATTTACCCTCTCTGGGTCTGTGCACTCATGTAAAATGAGAATCAACGGTACCTGTCTCGTAGGTTGTAACAATGAGTTCATACACATAAGGTACTTAGCACGGTGCCCAGTGCGTAGAAACGTTATGTGAATGACCACAAGGGAAAGTCTAGGGTCACTGGGGCACGAGACAGAAGGGAGCTCTGAATGGACACGTTTGCAGTAAATAGAACACAGTTGGGACCCAACAGAGGAGAAAGCAAAGGGCAGAGGCTATAAAACAATTTTTCCTAAACAGATTTTCCAGGGCGGCCGTGGGTAGGGGGAGGCATTGGGTGGCCTTGTTCTCCGAGCTCTTGGTCTTATCAGGCATTCCAGAAAATTCCATTAAAACTGCCACCTCAAGCCTAAAGGATTGCCAGCCTCTTCTTTCTCTTATTTTTCCAAAGAATTTGTATCCTCTCTGTTTAGTCAGTCACGACCCTCCAGGCTTTGCAGCTCATCAACTTTAATCCTTCGAGCACACAGGTGACGAGAAGAGGACAGTAAGCCTTAGCCCAGGTGCCTTCCCTCCTTTCAGCCTCTGCAGGGCTCCTCATGTGGCCCGTGAGTGGGTTAGTAGAGCCACGGTCAGACGGTTGTGTCCAGCCCGTGCAGAGGGGCCGACTTCCCCCTGCCTGGCTGTGTGGCCCTCGGGCTCCTTCCAGAGCAGGGGGGGGAGGGAGGGACGCCTACCTGGGCACTCTTCATTGCTGCAGATCCACAGACTATTCCGGCAAATGCTGTCAGGGAAAGAAGCACACATCATTGGTAGTTCTGCAAACATGAGGGTACACAAGTGGATTTAGAGCTCACCACAGATACCACAGCTCCCAAAGGACGGGATCTGCGAGAAGACAAGAGCCGATGCTAGAGGAGGAGTTTTACGGGTTAAAGTTGTGCAGGGCAGGGCTTTGACCACAAAGGAATCTTGGAGATGTTTCTAAGGGGAAGAAACCCTGACAGAGAAAAAGAAGAAGAAAGAAAACCCAGGTATCTGGTATCCCTGAAAGTCTACTCAGGTGCTAAGAAGTCAAACCTCTACCCCACACAGCTGGTGGAAGAGGCTAGAGAAAGCTTGGAAAGGGGTAAGACCCAGAAGCACGCTGGCAGCCAGCTGCAGCTCCCTGAAGCCTCAGCGAGTGCCCAAGGCTGCCAAGCAGGGACAGACAGCAAAGGAAAGAGGCCTGGGGCAAAAGCGGGAGTTATTCTCCCCAGTGTGCAGGGGACGGCAGAGCTAGGCAGAGGTGACATCCAGAGAGCTTCCTGGGGAGATGACCTGAGCCAAGCAGGGACAGGAGCAGGGAGGGGCCTGGCTGACTGCAGGGAGCCATGGAGGGCAGTGAGTTTCCACTGGACACTGCTGTTCCTGCACCCAGTAGACAAGAGACTTCCAGGGGAGAAGGAACTGCGTGCTGCTTGCCGATTGCTCCATAGTCCCTCTGCAGGGGGAGAGCCTCACTGATGAAAGCACGGTTTGGAGGGACAGCTAAAGATGTTGTCTGCATGTAAAGGATCCTCCCTTCCTGACCCACCCCCCTCTTCTGGGCTTATCTGTGATATAATCCTTGTCCCCCACCACTGCCTTCCACGCCAGTCCCAAAACCCCACCCCCACCACCCCTACCACCTCCGCCCACCTCAGTCTCTTTCCCTCAGCCCAGACCAGGTCCTCTTCCACCTGCCGCTGTCCCTACTGCCCCAGCTTCCCCTCCCAAAGTCCCTGGGCAGCTCCCCCAGGCCACCCCAGTTACCAGGTGTTGCAGTCTCGAGAGAGGGAGGCGCCTGGCGGGTACCGCTTCCCGGAATGCACACAGGAGCACTCAGTGCTGTCCACGCAGCGGCCTTCATCGAGGAGCTGTCCCTCTGGGTTTAAGGGCATCAAGACAAAGATCTCAACACTACCACCTCATTACTCTCTTGCAAGTATAGAATCCCATCCCCATGGGCGATCATCGGCTTAGGGCTTCTCCCAGGAAGTGCAAAGAACGTGTTGCGTGGTGTTTATCTTTCACAGATTGCAGCCTGAGGGAGGGATATTATTCATCTCCACTCTCCAGATGAAGAAATGGAGTTGAGAGTTTTGCTCAAGGTCTTCCAGTGGAGAAGTCACGCATCGAAACACACAGGTCCCACTCTCAATGATTAAGCAGGGCTTTTCACTAACGCTCACAAAGTCTCCCCTGAGAAAGACTTTCTACTGCAAAGCCCTTTCTCAGCTGAGCTCACACGGCAAACCCAGGAAACATTTAAAAGGTCTTTCTCCCAGACAAGTTCCCTGACCCCCAACTGAGAACACAGAGATGCAGCTCAGATCGGGCCACAAGCTCCCCAAATAAAGTGTCTGTTGGGGCCCAGACCTGTTTCCCTAGACACAAGGGTTTTCATGGATACATTAAAACAGTAAAAACATAAATTAAAAATAAAAACCAGCTCAATCCTGGTCCCTCTGTACAAAGACTTGTAAAAACTAAATAAAAGTCTTCTGATTTCAGCAACAGGGATCAAACGCAAGCAGTCTTCACGTTGCTTCCTGGGCCAAGAGCACGGGCAAGGTCTGGGGTTTGTAACTAAGGTGGGAAGGTCATTACCGGGGCAGGTGCAGCCGTCCACACATTGCGGCTCACACACCTCGTCCACATGCAGGCTCTGGCAGGTGCGGGGGCATGGGGACACACACTCCTTATATTCCATGCCAGCAGGGCATGCTGGGCCTGGAAGAGAAAATGAAAGGGGTGTCCCCAGAGCAGTCCCCACCAGCACAGCGTCTTAGAAGCCGCACCATACTCATGGTCTCCTTCGGCCCCTCTGACTGCCCCCCTCCATCTTCAGAGTCCCTGGGGCCATCTCTGCCCCAATGGCCCACAAGCCCCTCTGAGGCCACTGTCCCCCACAGAAACACACCCATCTTGTGAGACCCTGGCGAAGACCACCCCCCTTCCCCTTCGCCATCTGTTCTCCAGGGACAACTTGGCATTCTTTTGCTCCTCTGTGCTCTGTCCCCCCAACCTAACCCTTTCAGGGTGACATTAAACTCCTCTGGCCTGAAGAGGAATGCCTTCCTGGGACCAAGCGAGGAGCAGTGGTGTCGCCATCACATGCCTCCCGTGAGGGCTTCTCTTCCCCCAGTCAGTGCCCCACCCAGCGCAGGGCACACACCATTCATGCTCACTTTGCCTGCACGGTGACACTCACTCCGTGTGTACCTCCGCTTCGCTGCAGGGCTGCCTTCGGAGCCTTGTCACCTACGTGCCTTTCTGTGCTCCCCACTGGACCCGGCTGCCCGCAGGTGGGGGCTGCTCTCCTCCTTTCTCTCTCTACCACGTGGCCGGCTGACTCATGCTCAGGCAGACCAGAGGACCAGGGCATGCCAACACTCTTCTCTGTGCTTCCCAAAAACAAGCAATTGCCCCAACCCCTTCTCTAAGCTACGTCAGGTGTCTCTACAACTAAAGACGGCCACTAAAAAACTGCAATTCCACCTTACAGGGAAGAAGCCAGTGCTAACTCCCACCTTCCCACAGCCCCAGCAAAGCTGCAAGCTCTCATCTGGAAGCCGTTTGGCACACACTGAAACACATGTGCGCAGTGTACACACTCGGCCAGCTCGTCTGTCTCCAGCAGTTCGCATTATGTCTATAATTATTGCAGACTGGCTGTCCATCTGCACAGCTCTTGGTCAGTGTAAGGTCTGGGGAGAGACGGGGCTTCTTGTGAGGTGACGGGAGAAGCCCCTACTCAGTCATGATCATTTGGGGATGGTGGCGATGACTAGGGACCCAACGAGACCAGAGGATGAGAAACCCGAGCACCATGAGGTGACGCAGAAGGAACAGTGGGTGTTGCACCCGGAGGAGAGAGGCTGCTTTAATACGGGGGAGACTCTGGCCAACTCCCTGCTCTTCGTCAACCCAGACAGGCGGACAGTGAAGACATAAACTGAAGTCACACCTGCTGAGATCTGGTCGGAAGCAGAGTCCAGGGGATGGCTCTCCTGGGAGGGAAGTGTGGCATGACAACAGAGGCGGGGACGGGATGTGGACCTTGGAAAGATCTGTCCACCTGGCCTCAGCCATCGAGGGAGGGGACTCCCTCTGCAGCCAGCACTCATGGGACCAGGTGGGAGAGGGCAGGAGCCACTCAGGAAACGGGTCCAGGCACTGGCTGACTGCGGTGTGGGAAAGGTGAACAATTGTGACACAGCCCAAATCTTCCTGAGTGACACCAGCCCAGGACAGGCCCAAGGGCAGCCGACTTACGGCACACACTGTGGTCGGTCCAGCCATACAGCACCATGCCCTCCTGGGCACAGGTGCGGGCGTACTCCAGCAGGGCGGGGCACAGGCACTCTGGTCCTGGAGGACACGTGCACAGCGACTTCTCGCACAGGGCCACGAAAGGCTCAGGGTCCACCAGCGGGTGGCAGCGGGCGAACACTGATGCGCTTTTCAGAAGCTGGCACTGCTCCCACAGGCCCTGCAGAAAGAGAGGCCACCTCAGCAAGCGCAGCACACAGGTGGCTCGCGCCACAGCGCCATCTCTCGGCATCTCCAAGTGTGGCACGGAGGAGACTCAGCCCTGCTGGGAAAACCAAGAACGCACCCTCAGGACCCAGGACAGAGCCTGGCACCCAGTTGGTGCTTATCCATCAACTGTGTTAAATTCATCAGCCCCGCGGTCAGAGGAAAGTTAGGGGCCCACGCTGTGGGAAGCTGAGCAAACCCAAGGCTGCGTCCTAGACGGAGCCCTGGAAATGCAGAGTCCAAGGCCCTCGGACGGCTGTGGCAGGCAGTGTCCTAAGTAAGGCAAGAGGGGAGAGGGAGGGGAGGGAAAAGAGCCTGGAATTGGGCTGGGTGGCTCAAGTCCAGTAGAGCTTTCGACATCTGTTCTGCTCTGACCCGGTCACCTCCTCTCCCTCACCTTGATTTTCTTCACCATAAATGAGGGAGTGGGACAAGTAGTTTTATTAAGTAGAGATTTCTGGGCCTCACCCCCAGAGCTGTGAGTTCAGTAGGTTGGGAATGGGGTTCAGCAACGTGTTTTTTAGAACATTCTCCAGGCGAGGGCTGGGACCGGAAGGGACCAGCTCTCATCAGCAACAGCACTTGAGGATTCTGTGAAATGTACCAGGTGTTCTGCACCAGGCAAGGGCTATTCTTGGGTCTTACCTTGTTGATACCCTCAACCTAAGAACACAGGGCTCATTTGGAATTATCATTTATTACTTCTGCTAATTCACTAGCATAAACACTCCCACATGTTTTACTTATAAACATCTCTACATTCTTTGCTTTAAGAATTCTAAATGCACATTTTTTTTCAGTTTAGCATGTCTGAAGTTTGGGGTGCATCTTACAATGGATATCATACTTTAACTGGCAGGATTTTCTTTCTTAGTGGTACATAGAGCAATGTGCCTTAAAATGAATAATGTCTTAGATTTGACACAATACGGTATTATTGACATCAATGATCCCCACAATTTTTTTCACACATAATTTCTTTCATGCATGCGCATGTTCTCTGACTGGAAGCCAGCAGTTAGTGAAAGGACTTATGACCTTCAGCTAAAAAAAAAAAAGTACAAGAGTATCTAAATGGAAGGGCTAGGTGCTGAAGGGTAAACCAGAGCCAATCAGTGCTTGTAAAGAGGTCACTAAAAAACAGGAGAGAAATGATCAGTTTTGAGGAGAGGGAAATCTGATCTGCTCAAACGGTACAAAGGATTTCCAGAGCAAACCTATGTATATCAGGAGCCAAAAGCCAGGCCAGGGCCTCTCTTTTGTGGCACTGTGGAAGGCCTAGAGAAATAGAAACTTAACCCAGTGAGCTCACCGTCCTCAGGATCCACTCCAGCAGCACCAGGGGCGTTCTGTGGTCCTAGGGACATCAGTGTTCTGCCCCTTACCTGGCCTGCACGGAGTCTAGCTCAGACCCCAGCAAGTAGGGCAGAATGTCACAGCTGCACCCTGATCACAGCAGGCCCTAGGGCACCAGGGGGAGCTCCAGGCCCCAGCCAGCCCAAACAGAGCCAGGAGCAGCTGGTTCCCACTTGCCTTAGGAAGCAGGTCCATCCAGGCCACAGCAGGCAGCCTCGTGGACGGGGGCCGCCAGCAGCACCCCCGTGGCCCCACCTTCCTGAATTCCCTCCGCTGCGTCTGCACCCATGCATGGCTGTGAAAACACCCAGGCTTCACTGAAGCCCAGCTCCACATTCACTGGCAGTGGGGACGTAGACAGACCCATTTGCCTCATTGGAGCAAGTGTCCTTGAGTAAGCAATGACAGCCATGCTCGTGCTGTGGCATGGGGTTGGCATGACGACACACGGCTCCCAGGAGGCCATCATTGAATGAGGGCTACCGTCGTGGTCTCAGGTGGCTACATGTCTCTCCATTGGCCCCCCTGAGTGTTTTACACCAGGGGAAACTGAGGTCTCTGAAGACAATGACCAGGAAGAGTGGCGGATGTAGGCAGGCGGGCTGGGCCTCGTTCTGACTCCACAGCCTCAGACCCGCCTGGGCCTCATGCGCTCACCAGCTGTGTGAGCTTGGGCCCTTTGCTTGACCCGCCTCCTCTGTAACATGGGAGAACAATCAAAGTTCTCACCTGGCAAGACCGTACTGAAGGTTAAATGGAACAATGCACATACAAGGTTTATCCAAATAAACAGTGACCCCATAGCACCATCGTCATCTGTCTCCTGACCACCTGAGAGGTCCCTACCACTGTCCCTCCTGCCATCCAGCTTATCCTCCAGAATGGTGAGCAGGTCCCTAGCAGGACAGGACACCTCTGTCCCTTTCCCTCTAGTGGCATCTCCCTAGGTTGCACCTGGATGAGCGTGGCACTTAACTCGTATCGTGGGGCTCCCTGGTGAACAGAGGGGGTGCTTTGGTTAATTTTTTATTTAGAACAATGTGGGTTTCTTGAAAGGAATGGGGCAGGAACTTGTCCCCTTCATAATAGGTAGATCTAAGAACCTCCATCCTCGCTGGCAAGTTGCTGCTCGGAGAAGGAAACCGAGGCTGTGCCTGTTTCTCTCTGTTCTGCCTCACAGTCTGCCCCATCAGAAATGCCGCCCAGGACATGAGGACGCTGAGCTCTCAGAGGGGAGCTAGGGTGTCCCAGAGAGGGCCAGATGCTTGGGCTCGTGCCTACCTCTTTCCCCACCCACAATCTGGAGCCAGAAAGGCAACTCCACGGGGTTTCTCTAGTGACTGCTGCCATCATCTGGTCTGTGGCTCAGAGCAGTCCCTGCACCACAGGACCGACTCCTGCAAGGGCTAGGAACTGAGAGCTCTTCCCAGGCAGGACACAGAATCAACCAGACACATGGCTCTGAGAGGGGAGGGAGAGTCCAGCACGGCCTGTCTCCAGCTGGCCCACTGTGGTCTTTTCCCTGCTCAGGGAAAACTGGGAGCAGCACTCCAGCACACTTCCTGGGAAGTCCCTTGAGGCATTAAATGGTTTATAGAAAGCCTTAGCAAGAAGGCTGTTTTCTTCCTATTGTTTGCCCACAGGATGGGAGTGGATTTCTGCAGAAACGGCTACCTCCCTTCTTCGAACATTCCTCTGGCTTCCATCTTAAATACCTGAAATCTGGCTAGGGTTTTTTCCTCAACAGAAACAAAAGGAAAAGTCTGTCTTCCCACCTTGTCCTCCAGTCTTCTACTGGTCAGCTTGGCCTGAACATGGCCCACTAGAGTGACCACAGTCTGAGAGCCAGGCAGGACTTCCAGGCATCTGCCCAGCACCTGCAGCCGGATCTGCCCTCCCCCGCAGCTGTACCACAGTGGCATATTTAGCTGGCCATCTCTGCCACTCCCAGGCTTCCCTGTTCCGCCACAGGTAGCCCTGCTGGGTCCTGAGACGGGAACAGAGATAAGTCCAAGGTGAGCTCGACATCTTGAACTACAGACTCATGGCAGAGCCGTTGGCAGGCAGGTGGTGACTGAAACATGCACTCAGCAAGGATGGGCTGCGTGGCCTCAGGTCTTCAGCAGTGTGTCCAAGTCGATATAAAGTACAAATCTGACTATGTCCCACCTCTGGCTTAAAGGCCAAAGTTCTTGATCATTAGGAAGGTGGCAAGCCAGACCCTCCGTGATCTGACCCCAGCCTACCTCTCTAGTCCCACCTCATCCATTCCTGGTGGTTTCCTGAACAGATCCTGATGTTTCGTCCCTTTGTCGCACACCTCCTATGTCCAGGCACTGTGCCACGACAAGGAATATAATAGAAAGCAAGCAGCCTCGTCCCGGCCCTCAAAGCCTAGCGGAGAACCCGCCCTCTTCCCACCCTCTCTGACCTCCGCATTTCCCCCATTTTTGGCCCCGCTAACTCCTAGCCACGCCTCAGTTCAGGAACCACCTTTTCCAGGAAGGCTTCTCTGGCCAGCTGCCTTTTCCCCACCCTGCTGGGTGAGGAGCTATCACAGCCCTCTGGGCATCTCTGCTCTTATACTGAAATTATCCATGTCTGAGGCATCTCCTCCATTTCCTTGCAAGCTTTTCAAAGTCAGGAGCTGTATTCCCAGGGTGCACACAGCCAGCAATAAGAATTGCTGGATCAAACCCAAAAATAATGAGCAAAACCATGGTGAATCATGCTCTCCACTTCTTAAGGGGCTTTCCATCTGCCCGAAACAGGCATTTCCATGGGGATGTGTACTTTAACAGTTGGAAGCTTGGTCCCAACTTAGGGGTATCTTCCCGATGGTGCAGCCAATCACAGCTGGAAGAAACGTGCAACCGAGATGCCAGGAAAGGCTTCCTAAAAAGGTGACGAAGTCTAAGCAGGGCCATGGATGCTGTATAGGACTTAGGTTGCAGGGCAGGAGGGAGGACATGCTAGGTAAAGCCAACAGTATCACTACAGGCAGGAGGAGAAACAGTAATTACAGCTGAGCCAAACCCGGAGACTCCAGCCCAGTGTTGCCAACAGACACCCCAGGAAAAGCACAGCTGCCCTCCAGACATTGTTCTATTAGCTTAGTGGCCCTAGCTTCTCTCAGCAGGTAGCTGTGGCCCCCGTCATATTCCAAACCCAACCAAGCTCTCCCTGAATCAGCTTGTATTTTCTGCCCAAGCCCTCAGACCCTACCGTGTGTTCCCCAAGTGAGGTGCGTTGGGCGCCTTCCTCTCACCTGCCCCAGGGTCCTCCACCCACTTCAGGATGTGGTGAACTGGCCTCACCCTACCCAAGCTATCCATGGCTTAACAGTGTTTCCACGCCCTCTTTCCTGTGGGAATTGGGTGTAGTCGCGCAAATCAGTGGGCTGGGGTGGGCAGCCCAGCAAGTGACAACACTCAGTTGTGGGAGGTTGACTCACAGATGCCTGCCGGTAGGCCCTCCACAGATCCTTTGCCCTTCTCTCTGCTTTAAGGAAAGGCTGATGCAAAACCCACGACCCCTCCACAGCTGAAGATGATCTCCCAGCCCACCTAAATGAAGTTGTTTCAGAGACCGTCTCGT